ATAATGGTCGTTCAAAGATAATTCTTGAGCCATTCTGAGTTTTATATTGAGCGCGAGTTTCAGAGAATTTGGATCTTGCAAATGGTACTTGGTAACGTGGAATATGTGAAGGGTAAATGGAGCACCTAYTACTTTTACAAGGTCTTTATATGTTCAAAATTTGATATCTGGCGGGAAACTAATGTGTCGCTTTGATTGGCTAGAAAAATTACGTCAGAAATGATAAAATGTGCTAAAATGGGCTAAAACCATATGAAAAAATATTCAAAAAATAAAAATAAATAAAAAGGTTCCAAAAATATCGTTGGCCTACCATCGCATGAAACAAAAAGCCCAAATAAAATATTCAAGTTTAGGCCTTCGTGTTCAAATTCCTTGAATCTTTTGAAAATGACACTTCCGAAGTGACAACTTGTTACTATAAGGGTACGGTAAATGGCGAACTATTTTCAAGTGACTTCCAGTATCATTTTACAGTATTGATTTTTCCCGCGGCCACAGCAGAGTAAATGAGCGACAGCGATGGTTTAGATCGTTCTGTTCTCTTTCTTTTCTGCATTATTGGCTGAAATGAATTGTCTCGAAGACCAGCTGTTAACTTAACGTAACTGATAAATCGACAACACAAAGTTTTCTTATTCCCCATATACCTGTCCACCTTAGCAAGTTGTAAAATGACTTCATGACTATATTATTATGTAGTGTTTAAAAAACGAGTAGGAGTGTTTTATCAGGTATAAAAGCACGAGGCGTAGCCGAGTGCTTTTATACCTGATAAAACACGATCTACGAGTTTTTTGAACTGCTTAAAACACTCATGAACAAATTATAAGATTTTGGTTCAACTGGAGCCACCATACACGTCACGAACATGGATTTTTATACTTCGATAGAGATTTGACGTCACGGGCATGCGCGACCAGATTCAATAGAAGCTCCCACACGTTGGATATTGCGTGTGAAGGCAAAGACAGGCACGTTAGTCAAAGATTTTTAGGGTTGGCTATGGCCTTGATGAGGCTCTAAGTCTCCATCTAAACTTGGATGCATACTTCATCCCTGATGAAGTCATCCTCATAGTATTCGAGTGGTCTTTATATAAAAATCACATGTGTCTTTATATAAAATCACTTGAATACTAATGAAGAGGACTTTATCGGGTATAAAGGTTCATGCACGTGACGTGTATGGTGGCTCCAATTGGACCATAAGCTTATGAATTAGTAATGATGTTTTAATATTATTTATTTATTCATTTGTTTTTGCATTATCGTAGCATATTTGATCATTACACAACGGCAGCTGTTAACGTTATTAAAAAATCGACAATAGAAACTTCTGACGATTTCGAACTTCTCCCAGCAAAAATTCACTAAATAGTTCCAAAAATAAACAATTAGTCCCCACTGTGCCATAACCCCGAGAGACATCCGCAGATTTGAGGCGTCGTATGGGCTTCGGACCTGACGGCCCGTCCTTCTGCCCTTGTTTGTACGTATTACGCAGAATGATGTTCTAGCCGAAGCATCAGGAGAGAGACTAGCCGGCCCCCAGACCATATCAGCTCAACACATTCTCCTCGTCAGGACAATCATAATCATTGAATGTCAAATCTCCTCAAATCAAACATAATCATTGTTTTGACAAATAAGTCATGATCAGAGAAAGACTTGGATCTAGCTAAAACACAAACCAAGATGGCGGACGGAGTTATTCAATCAGGCAAGTACAAATTACAATACATATCGACTTATTTCAACTTTCGATATATTGACCAAAATGATAATGAATTTTATTCATTCTGACGATCATAATAGCTACCAATAATCTTTATTCGCCCTCCTTTTTCAAATATTAGGCAAGATCAGTAGAAATACAGAAATACACACCGCTTCACAAAATTTAACGGTGAACAGACCTACAATATGAGCTTTTTAGTTACAATGTGTATGTACTACCTGTAGGATAATTACCCCGGCATTATATGAATTAAGGAAAAAGTAGAGATCTTTAAAACGAAGGTTTTTATTTCCTTTATTATAGTTTGTGCATGTATATGCTAGCATAAACAAAAAAATTATAATAGGAGCGTTGCAGAGAAAAAAAACAACCTTTGGGATTAAGAACTGTTTCTGGAATAAATAACTTACAATAATAATCAAAAAATATTTTGTTTCTAAAGTAAAACATATATTCATTCATTTATTTATTTATTTATTGAATAGT